AGGAATGTAAAGGTCTATGGTCTAAGGTGTTCATATATGTGTTTGTATTTCTGTGGGCATCTTTGATTAACTTGCTGTGAAAAAGGACACTGCAAACATGCTTCTGAGTAACTTGTTCTATTAATTTTGAAAGGTTTGGTTTTGATGTGTTAGGTGCCTTGCCTGATAGAAATGTGGAATTCCTCTCCCATTATCAGAACTGGACCTGTCAGTCATCCAAGGGAAACTTTGGTTTTGTTTTTAGAAAATTGTGTTTAGTTTAATAATCTTAATGCAGCTAGCCAGCAGGGAGTTTACAGGTCAGTTGTCTTTACTGATACAAAGCAAGGAAAAAAATTGGTAAAATGACTTTTTTAAAAAAAAAATAAAAATAATTCTGGACTATTCTTCTCCAGCAAGGAATCTTTTGCAGTCTCACTTTGTGGATTTCACAGGTGTGGAAGTGTAGATAATCCAAATTCTAATTTCTGTAATTGAGTCAAAAGCTGTGGGACAGCTATGACATTTTAAGTTTACAGTGGCAGTTAGGACTCCCACTGACACCACCAGTAATGCAGTGACTGTTTCTTTAGTTGTCTGATAATGTAGTCATATTTTTACACAGTAAAGAAGGCTGTGTGCAAGGTGGTCATGTCATAGGAGTAGAGGTTAAAAGCAAAAATTGCTTTATCACTCATGCCTAGTTAGGCGTGTACTGTGCCATTCATACTATGCAGGGGCTAACACCTTTTTGTAATGCTTTCCAGTTGTGTACGTGGTGTTTGGATGTGAGTTCCTGACTTGCTTTTCCTTCTGCTTAGGATGAAAGAAATGAATTGATTACAAAGAGAGATGAAGTGCAGCAGAATTTGTATTCAGCAGTGAGGGAATTCATTTTGGAAGTGGATCAGTTGCCCCTCTCTGAGCGATTAAGAACATTACAGGTAAGGAAGTTGCTTTTATCAGTTTTGATTCTGAAATACTGAGACCCTGTGGAGGGTGTTTCTTAAATGTTAAACATTTTATAGTTGGAAACCTTGACAGCAGCAGATGTAGTTTTAGGTACCACTGCTGAATTAAGTTGCACATCTGTCACCTGTAGTTTTCAGTGCTACTGGGGATCCTGGTCTTCTAGATGTTTTTTATTTCTTGATGCAAATTATTATATAGATCCTGGATTTGAGCAGCAACTCTTCTCCTATGGAACTGTGTTTGATGCCTAACAAGACTTCACAAAGTACAGAATATTTAGTAGAAAACAGATGTTAATGAAAGAATATACAGTTAAAAAGTCAATGCCGTTCTTCGGTAAATTGTGGCAGTGGGTTTTATGGTTGGATGATAACGCTTTTCTAGCCCTTCCTGTTGAGGTGCTGTGTAGTTTGAACTAGTGTAGCAAAGTGTTAAGTGTTAACATTGTTTTTTTTAGGGTGAGAGTTAAACAGTACATATATAGGTTATATCAAGAGTCTCTCTCCCTTGCAGCCAACCCAGCAACAGAAAATGGGGAAAAAGACTGGGAAAAAGGCTCTGTAGAGGCAGTGGATGCTTTTGAAGAGGACTTTACCAATAGAAACACCAAGGCTGTGTTTCTGGCCTTTGTTATTAGAAATTATTTCTTTTTTCTTTTTAATTTTAGAAATATTACTTTTATTTTGACTGTGTTAGTGTGTTTGGAGAGGGGGAAAAAGATTTTTTTTTTTTTTTAATTTTTTTTCTGGTTGTAGTCCGATACGTAGATTGGCATCTAATTAGAAAAGGTACTGAATGAGTAGCAACTCATGGCTTTGTATTGCTGGAAGCCCTGTGGATCCTGCTCCTTCAGACAGAGGGACGTTGGACTGTGGTGTTGTGTGGGTTTTTCCTGTTTGATTTTTGATTTTGTTTGGTTTGTTTTGTTTTTTGGCATGTGCTGAATGGTTATGCTGTGCTAATCCACTAGGTGGTAGGCATTAAGCATCTTCTCAGAAATTGTACCGTAGTGAAATTTTAATAGTTTTTAAAAAATATTTGAAGAGGCACCGAGATGCTGCTGGATGTGTTAAGTGAATGTTTTGCTTTAGCTTTACAGTGTTAACTTTTTACGAAATATCAGTGAAAACCTTGGTTGTGGTTTTATAGCGCTGAAGAGGTCATGCTGTGTTTTCTCCAATGTCTCTCAGGGGAATGAGAGCTTAAAAGCTAATGGCCCCCTTAACTGAGGCTGTGCATTGCAAACCTCTCTTCTGCATCACACATCTCTCCTGACTGATGTTTATACCTTCCAGTGAGAACTGTCACTGGCCTGAACTACAGGTTTCAAACAGCTTCAGCCACTGCTGGTTCCAAGTGGCTAGGACTGATAGACACAGTTGTGAGCTCCGTGCCTTCCAAGTGATAATAGTGCGTTGCTCGGGAGGAAGGCCGAGTGTGGGCATGCACGTAAGTTACTCTGAAGCCAGCTAGGGTGTGAGCTGAACAGTTGTCAGCTGCTCTGTGTGAGCTTGCTGGGAGCACATTTCCTCTGCCCCGTGGGTAGCGTGTCGTAGCTTGTTCTCTTCCTTTTGACTTACCATGCTTACGGAGAGCGACTGGGCCGAGGGCATACAGGCCACTGAGCCAACTTCATATGGTAACTTGTTACCCTTCTGGAGCCTACTTCATTATCCATATGCTGGGGAAGTTGCTACTGCTTTAGGGAAATGTGCTTATAGCATGTAAAATAAATGGGAAGAAATAAGATATAACTTACAAGATTCTTTCTTTGAGCATAGCCTGATGGAATGCATGGAGATACTCCTCTGTGTGACTGGTGCTATTATTTTTGTAAACAAGGTGTGATACTGGATATGAAACTGTTACTGAGCACTTCTCTCAGTTCTCTTACCCATCTTTGGCTGCTGTTAAAAGGGATGATTTTTTTTTCCCCCTCCCTCCTTTGGGCTATTCCTTTTGAACCTGGCTTCTCCCTTGCTGTTTCATTTTCTATTCATGTGTATCGTGGTGTATTAAAATCTAGCTGTTTAAAAAAGAGTACAAGAAAAGTCTGTTATGCACTTGAATTATTTAAATAGCCTCCAAAAATTTAGCCCAAACTTCCTTCTTGTGTTTGCTTGTAGACAAGCACATTTGTACAAAGCTCATTTGGAAATTGCTTTTTTATGTGATGAATTGTACTGAATGGATGCTGTTCATTGTAGTATCCGTTGTTACTAAAGTAATTTTATAATTTTTACAAAATACTGTTTGATGGTGTCGGGTTTTTTTGTAGTTTTTGTTTGGCTGTTTTTGATCACTGTATTTGGTTGGTTATAATGTGAGGTAAGTTGTATGGTTTTGACCTCAGTCTGAATGTTTATTTATTTGACCTAGAAAGATGCTTTATGCCAGTGTGTAGGGCTAAATTTTTCTTTGTTAAAGGTCTTAGCTTTTTATAGCTAGTATACTGTCACAAAATTCTTCTAGTTGCAAACCTGTTTTTATTTGATTCTCTTTATGCACAGGAGCTGTCTGCTTCTCTGGAGATGGTGTATGGTCAAGCTTCTGAAGCAGATGATTCTGAGGATGTATTTCAACAGTTCTTTGATTGGAAGAGTATTAAAATGAAGAAATTAATTGGTGTCAGAGGTGCTGTGGACACAGCTCTGCAGATTCTTGCTGACTGGTTCAGTGACACCTTAATGGTAAGGTGAACAGTCAGTCTTTCCTGTTGGTGAAAAAGATGAAGTATGTCATGACCTAACCGAGCTTGTGAGGAGTAGGCATTAGTAGGGACAACTCTGTGTGGCAGGAGGGTTGTGCATATGAGCAGTGGCACTAAATGACGAGGCTTTAATTAGTCCTTTCAGGCCTTTGGATAGAAAGACTTCAGATTTAAAAAACTTCTGGTTCATAAATGCTGCTGAAAGATCACTGCAAAGAACCTGACTGGACATGATCTACGTACAGGTTGCAGACATATAACAGAATTTTTTTTTCCTCACTGAAATGCTGACTATGGGGAATTTATGCAAATAAATTGTCCACTTCTATTTACATGTCCTGCAACCTTTTTCTGGAATAGTATTCTGATGCTGTGCATCTCTCGGTCTGAGTTGTAGGAAGTTTGGAGCATTGAAGTTGATTGTGTGTTACTGAAAAGGACATGGATGGTAGAAGTGGGTTACCATCTCTTGAGTTCTGCTTCTAAAGAAGGCGCAAAATAGGGAAGTAATCGTGACTTTCCTGTGTCTGTGCTTAATATCTATGTTCTTCTTTAGCTGAGGACTCAAGCTTCCTGTAAGCTGCGCTCCTTCCATTCCTGCAGCCCCAGCTTCCTCTATCCCCTCTTTGTTTCACTTGTGTGTAAATATTCTCTGTGCCAGTGTAACCTTCCTGCGCATGTGATTTGTACATAATCCTCTCGTAGTGAGTAGGTTTTCTGCACTTGCGTTTTGTTGTACCTGGAGTTTGTACTGTGGCCAGATGCTCTCGTGACTAACGCTGTTCCCTGACCTGATGATAAATGCTGTTTGGCAGCAGGGTAGATTTGTGCGGGTCATGTGCTGTATAATATTAACGAACGTAAATACTTGCAAATGTTTGTAATCATGTCAGTTATTAGAGGGGCAAACAAACCTGCAGGTGTGTTTCTGTGACTGCTGGGTGCAATTCAGAGTGCTTTTCTGTATGTATGACAGCAACCGAAGTTTATTAGTGATGAACTTCGGTGATGTAGTGATGAACTTTGATTTACCTGTTTGAAATCGGAACTTGTCCGCAAAGAGTTCAGAGAGACTTTTACCTTTGGTAAAGCAGTGGTAAGTGGACCAAGGAAGAAATTTTCATTTATCGATTTTAATAATTTCAGCTTTTGATAGGCAACTATTCTGTTGCAATTCTAGCTCCTTTTTAAAAAAGTGTGAGCAGGCATGTAGAAGAAATGCTTCCCCTCCCCTGTTTTTAAATAGATGCTCCTCATCCTCTGTTTCTAAATCCACATTAATTTCAGAATTGATCAGAATCAACAACAGCAAACAGGTCAAGGATGGACAAGGAAATTTTCAAACTGGATGTCTGCTTTCCAGTATGCAGCTCTAGGCTTTGGGCACCAACATGCTGTTTGAAATTGTACTATTGAAGTTTTTATTTTTACTTCCTTTAAGGTTAAGGCAATAAAATATTTTCACAATCTTTAGTGGAATGCATATGCTGTTTAGTAACTGAACTAGGTGGAGTTTGCACATTTTTATTATGACTGTGTATCTTGCATGTTAAATACAGGACCATACTGTTATTTTAGTTCTTGTTGCTAGTGTAATATCTCTTCTTCTGCAGACAGAAGTAACAAAACATTATCGAAAACAACATTCAGTATAATGATAAGCCGATGTTACTTTTTTTTTTTTTTTGGCACCTTCTGTATCTTATATCTTGAAGCTGTGTTATTTCTGATTTCTGTGAAAACACATGGGGTTTCCTGGTGAAATTTTTAACCTTATTTCACACTTGATAAACTGTGAAATAGATCCCAGGATGTCTCTTTATCTTGGGCATTACTATATGGGAATGGAAAGCCCACTCAGTAGCGAAACTGCCATATTGAGCATCTTGTGTATCACTGTGTGGGCAGCACATACAGTTGCAAGAAAAAGCGTGTGAACCTTTTGAAATTTCATGGTGTGTTCTGCATTAATTTGTCACAAAACGTGATCTAACTGTCATCTAAGTCAAGAGTATGAACAAATATAACGTGCCTAAGAAATACAAAACCAATTCTGGTCCTCCATGTCTTTATTGAACACACTCATTCAACATGCAAAATGCCAGTGGAAAAAGTAAGCGAACCCTTGGAGTCAGTAACTGTTTGCCCCCTGCCCCTTGGCAGCAGTAACCTTAACCAGGTGCTTGTTGTAGCTGTGGATCAGAGCTGCACATTGTTCAGGAGGGATTTTAACCCATTCTTCCTGGCAGAACTGCTTTAGTTCTGTCATATTCTTTGGACATCTCGTGTGTGGCTCCCTTCACATCATTCCAGAGCATTGCTATTGGGTTGAGGTCTGGGCTCTGACTTGGCCTCTCCAAAAAGCCGATTTTGTTTTTCTGAAGCTCTTCTTTTGTAGACTTGCTCCAGTGTCTTGGGTCATTGTCCTGTTACATCACCCAATGTCTACAGACTTTCAGCTGATGTACAGACATTCTCACGTTATCCTGAAGAATTTTTTGATACACTTGGGAATTCATCTTTCCCTCAAGGACTGCAAGCTGGCTGGACCCTGATGCAGCAAAGCAGGCCCAGATCATGATGTTTCCTCCACCGTATTTTAGAGTTATGATGATGTTTTCATGATGATATGCAGTGCCCCGTTTATGCCAGATGTAGTGCTGCGTGTTGTTTCCAAATAGTTCAATCTTTTTTTCATCAGTCCGCAAAACATTTTGCCAGTACCACTGTGGAGTGTCAACGTGCTTTTGCAAACTTCAGGCAGGCAGTGGTGTTCTTTGTAGTAAGCTATGGCTTGCTTTGTGGTGTCCTGCCATAGACACCCTGCTTGTTCCGCGTTTTATGTACTGTGGACTCATGAACACAGATGTTAGCCAGTTCCGAGGATGCCTTCAACTCTTTGGCTGTCGCTCGGGGTTGATTCTTTGCCTCCTTGATGAGTCTTTGTTGTGCTCTTGGAGTCATTTTGGCTGGGTGCCCACTTCTTGGTAGGGTAGCCACTGTCCCAAAGTGTCTCCATTTGCAGATCGTTTGCCTAACTGTAGACTGGTGAATTTCTAAGGTCTTTGAAATCACTTTGTAACCCTTTCCAGCTTTATGTATATCAACAATTCTCGATTGTAGATCCTCTGAAAGCTCTGTTTGGCAAAGTTTGGCTCACATAAGCATACCTCTTGCGCAGAGCAAACTCAAAAACTTTGAGTGGTTTTTATCAGTCAATGTAGCTCTAGTCTACACCTTCAAACTCATTTTCTTAGCAAGACTCCAGGTTAACCTGACGCCAGTTAGCTTTTTTGAGGTCAACTCAAGGGTTCACTTACTTTTTCCACTGGCATTTTGAACGTTGAATGAGCGTGTTCAATAAAGGCATGGAGGATCAAAATTGTTTCTGTGTTATTATTTTAGACACATTACATTTGTCAATACTCTTAAGTTAGATGATGGCTAGATCATGTTTTCTGACAAGTCAGTGCAGAACACCATGACATTCCAAAAGGTTCACATACTTTTTCTTGCAACTGTATTTTGATTTTTGACATGAAACTCTGTAGGAAAAGGATTAGGATTCTTCTACTGTTTTGTCTTTGGTAAAAATCAAAATGAGATTAGGAAGATAAAGCCCAGTCAAGGCAAGAATCAACTTTTTCCTTGCCTGGTAAATCTTAACTCTCTTTGTTCCAGAAGTCAAGTGTGAGTCTTTGTATTTCTTGCTTATTTTTGAGTTCTGCTTGCTAACTTCTCGCTTTCAATTGCAAGGCTGATTTTTTTCCTTCCCCCTCCTCTTTGAAGTGTTTTAACTTGATGTCAGAAGCATCTTCAGATTTAGAGGAAGTGGTTGTCAAAGCAGATGAAATTCTCGAAAAGGTTGAGTTGGCTATTTGTGAAGAACTGGCTACTGACATAAATGTAAGTTCTAATCATGCCTGCTATTTTATACATCTTTGATTTCAGTTTAAAGCTTTTCTTAATGTATCGGATAAGTTTATTAGCTACAAGGCAGCAGCTTTTTTCTTGAAAATTTGAAAGGCGCTCATGTTGCTTCCCACATAGAAGCGAATGTGTTTTCCTTTGATGTAGCATCACAACAACAACCAGCAAGTAGTTTAGTCTGCTTGTGACTGCTCTCTGTGGTAGAACCAGTGACTGTCATTTAGAGGAATGGTTGCATGCTTTAATGTTTCGTATCTATTTATTTGTGCTATCCTTAAAAATTCTTTCGTAACGTGTGGAGTGGGAAATTGTACTTGTTCGTACAGGTACTAAGCAGTTTTATTCTGCTGAGACTATTCGATGAACTCTTAGACTTGGTAACTTCCATTTTAGAATCTCTCTGAGAAGTGGAAAAAAAATCTATGATAAGTGATTTTTTTCCATTAGCAATGGAATTTCTCATGAAAGGTTTTAAGTCTTAAACATTGGTGTGTATAAATGAAGAGTGACCTCAGTCTTAATCTCCCTCCATGTAATTCAATCCAGGAGCATGATGAAGCAGAGAAGAGAATAATTAGGAGTGCTTACAATACAGTTATACATAAAATTTGTCAGGAGCAAAATATGATCGCTGTCATACAGAATGGATACTTGGCCAGTGTTGAGGTGAGCTTATGCCTTATTTCCTTCTTTCACGCTGATTTATACTAGAAACCTTTTCTGACATAATTTCTTTTTGAAAGATTTCATCTTATTATAAAGAAATTTTAGGAGTATATTGATGATGAGAGATTGGTTGGGTTGAAGCTTAGGAATTGCAGTTACGCATTACCTCAGCCAATGCTTCATTTAATTTAAATACAGGTACTTAAAAAAAATAAAGCAGCGGAAGCTGAAATCTCTGGATTCAGTACAGATCAGTAGTATGCAACTGCAGGGGATTGAGCTTTGAGTACAATGTTGGTTTCCCAGAAGATTGTTAATGTAGTTAAAAATGAAACAAAAAAAAACCCCTCTTCTGTGGGGAAGGACCCTGAAAAGCTGAATTCAAATAGGCTTCAGGCAGTTTCTCTAATGTGTTGGACTAAAACATATTAAATTAGAATACTTGAAGATGTTCTGTATTTTTTTTTTTATTTTTTTTCCTTTCCTCCTAGTTCAAAAACCATGCTGAGGAATGGCTGAATAGAAGACCTGATATTAACAACTTACTGTCAATTAAGAAAACTGTGAAAAGCTTAAAGGCCCAGTTGAGGTGGAAACTGGTTGAAAAGAACAACTTTGAGGAAGTATGAATATATTCCAGTGCTGGTTTTTTAGTCTGTTGTTATTTAAATCTGTTTAGAAATACGAATTTTGTCTATTCCGAGTGAGTGTAACTATATAGATCAGTTTGTGTTTCATGACCTGAATTTTGCCTTTAGCTGTGGAAGTTTTATGAGCCCCCAAGATCAAGCTTGAACAGCTTAAAAAAAAAAAATAAAAAGATACATAGCCACTTTTCCAATTCTCATCCATGGCTCTGTGCTTTTAAGTCCCTCTGGTGATGAGTGCTGTTCACAGCATGGACGATTTTGTCCAGCTCCTCTTACTGTGCTGGTTGTGTTATTACTTCAATTTTTACTTTGTTAATAATGTGTGTACCTCCCCTTTGGTGACAGAAGTCATGTCTTTTCTAGTTTTCAGGGTTCCCCGCTACCTCTCAGTAATGTGTGTACCTCCACTTTGGTGACAGAAGTCAATGTCTGTTCTAGTTTTCAGGGTTCCCCGCTACCTCTCAGAGAAGTCCAAAGTATGTAAATATTACCCCAGCTTCAGTGCTGTTTGGTTGATCATACACTAATTATTCTGATGATGCTTGAGGAGGAAAAGAACCTGCATGTGTCTCTATAAGCATTGTAAAGGGCCATTAAGATTTTAAGAGGGATTCAAAATGAGACACACTAACAAAACCCATTGGGAAAAGGATTCTTGAGTAATGAGGTGACATGAGGAAAATGCCGGTGTAGGACGAAAAAGTAGATGAATTCTGGCAATGCTGGTTAGGTGAATGATGCTGCTGCTGTTATGTGTGATCAGCTAATCAAAACCAAAATGCTCTGTGGCTTAGGAAACAAGTAGGCAAAGGGCTAGAACATTTGTTCTGTCACAGAAATAAAGGCAACACCTTTCTTGGTGATTAGGTTTTAAGAGCTCCTCTTCAGTTTCCAGGAAGAAATCTGAGTAAAACAGGCATTTGAGAATACATTTAAGTCCAGAACTGTGATACAGAAGCTGTTTTCTAATCCTGATGTTGTAGGTTATGGCTCTTTGGTGTAATAGCAGAACAAGAATTATACACTAACTTGGTTATTCCTAATGCAGTCTGATGATTACAGTGAGCTTGAAATGACAAGAATGAAGGAGAAAATTGCTGATCTGCGAAATAGGGTTCTTGAGGAAGTATCCAAGGAACAAGAAGAATATGTAAGTATTAAATTACTTTGGCAACTAAAACAAACCTGTGAGGCATATCTGCATTTCAGTTGCTTTAGTGTGTGGTCTGGGTAAAACAAAATTTTGCTTTTATAGTTTTATGTGTGATTTTTATAGTGTTGGATGTTAAGATGGCTCATTTTCAGTGAAACCTATTGGAGAAGGCATGAAAGCTGATCAGTTTCATCTCTATTTGAACATAGTTTTTCAGGCCTTTCCCTCTCCTTAAGGGTTTGAAGTTCTCAACCTGGAAGAGCTGCAGGTGAAAGCGTAGGCTCAGTTGCTCAAGAAAGATAGTATTTCTTGCAAGAAGGGCAACTGGTTCCTTATGACTAGGTTAAAACAGGCTTTTAGCCTGAAGTGAAGGATGTCACCCTTTCTCTAAGACCTCTGTATGGAGGGAAGAATAAGAAACCTTTGCCTTGTGAACAAGTAGGAGGGTACCAAAATTTGTGGTGATGCTATACCTACCTCTGCACATGTGGCATTTGTGTGTTGTAGTTACCTTGCAGCGTTACAGCTGTGTGGGTGCTGGCGATGCATGGCTGGGTTGGATGTCCGGGCCCAGAGAGTGGTGGCGAATGGTGCTGCATCCATTTGGCATCGGGTGACCAGTGGTGTCCCCCAGGGATCAGTACTGGGCCCAGTCTTATTCACCATCTTTATTGATGACCTGGATGAGGGGATTGAGTCTACCCTTAGTAAATTTGCAGACGACACCAAGTTGGGAGGGTGTGTTGATCTACCGGAGAGTAGGAAGATGCTGTGGAGGGACTTGGACAGGCTGGGTTGATGGGCCAAGGCCAACGGTACAAAGTTCAATAAGATCAAGTGCAGGGTCCTACTCTTTGGCCACAATAACCCCCTGAGCGCTACCGACTGGGGGAGGAGTGGCTGGAGAGACGCCGGGACAGTGGGGCCCTTGGACATGAGCCAGCGGTGTGCCCAGGTAGCCTGAAAGGCCGATGGCATCCTGGCTTGTACCAGGAGCAGTGTGACCAGCAGGAGCAGGGATGTGATTCTGCCCCTGTGCTCAGCCCTGGGGAGGCCTCCCCTCGAGCCCTGTGTGCAGGGCTGGGCCCCTCACTGCAAGAAGGATGCTGAGGGGCTGGAGCGGGTCCAAAGGAGAGCAAGGAGGCTGGGGAAGGGACTGGAGGGAAAGTCCTGTGAGGAGAGGCTGAGGGAGCTGGGGCTGTTTAGCCTGGAGAAGAGGAGTCTCGGGGGGACCTTCTCACTCTCTACAACTGCCTGAATCGAGGCTGTAGTCAGGTGGGGGTCGAGCTCTTTCCCCGGGCAACCAGTGACGGGACAAGAGGGTATGACCTGAAACTGCGTCACGTTTAGGTTGGATGTTGGGAAACACTTCCTCACGGAGAGGGTGCTCAGGCATTGGGATGCACTGCCCAGGGAAGTGGTGGAGTCACTGTCCCAGAGGTGTTTAAGGCAAGACTGGATGTGACACTTAGGGCTGTGGTCTAGCCGATGTGATGGCGTTGGGACATAGGCTGGAGTTGATCTCGGAGCTCTTTTCCACCCTCAGTAATTCTGTGAGTCTCTGTGTTACTACTTTATTTCTATCTTCTTCCACTTACACATTGTGGTTTTCCTTTGTTTAGGCCTACTAAAACCTCTTATAGAAAAGATGAAATGTTTTTCAGGTTAGTGCGTGAGCTTTTGTGTGTGTTGGTATCTCTCTTATTTAAAGAAAAAAGCGCAAATGGCAGTGTTACTGTGAACGATGTTATTGAAGGAGGTACAGTTATGCTCAGTGTACACTTGACTGTCTTGGGTATGCATTGAAAATGTCTGTGTATTCATGTTTGTCAGAAACTTGTGTCCTGAAGCTGTGGGCCTTGTTTCCTTCATTTAGGAGAAGCTGATATATTTGGTACAGAAATGGTTCCCTGAGTTACCACTTCTTTATCCAGAAGTTGGATTTCTAAACTATATGGTAAGCAGAGATTGCGTTTGAATGCACAGTCAGTCACTGTTTCAGGCACCATGAAGGCTCTGCACCCGCAACGCTCTGTCCATTTTGGGGAAATACACCCTGAGCATTGTTTGTTTGGTCTTCCTTCTCCCTCACTTTTGGGAGATGTTTGAGGAATGCATTTCATTAGCTCCCTCAGCATGGCCAGCCTCTTGGTAACAGATGCTGTAACTTTTTAATATGTCCCAACTGTTCTTGTGCTTTGCTAAGTTAATTGAGGAAGAGAAGAGGTAGTCGAAGCCTCTGAATCTTACCAGCTGTTAAATGCTTTGTGCTTACCCCGGATATCTGTGTGTGCATGTGCTTCAGAAAACTGGCAGGCTTTTGACACACAGCCTGGAGCGAGACCTGTTGGATGCTGAACCCTTGAAAGAACTGAGCACGAAGCGACCTTTATTGTGTTCAGAAATGCAGGGCCAGAAAGTTCTTTTAAAGGTAATGTTGGCGTTGGCTTTCACGTAGCGCTGCGGGTGAGGCCTTGGCTCATTAACGTGCTGATTCTGAATGAGCTCTGCTGTTCCTTTTATGTCCCGGTGGTTACAGCCCTCTTCTGGTGGCAGATATTTGTGTCTAGAACATAAAACATTGTTTTCCTTCCGGATTGCTTCTGTGTTGCTTACTGATTTTATTCACTTGTTTTGAGGATTGCTGTAGTGGACAGTGCTTTGCCTGTACTATCTGTTCTCTGTGGTTACCTGGTTGGACCTTTTATCCTTTTCATTATTCCTGTCTCTTTTAGTAGATGCTAGTTTGTTTTTCTGATGATTTCACTGGAATGTCAGGAACTGTTGCTTTCCCTTGCTCTGCTTTTCTAGAGTCAGCAACTAGGACACCACAGGATGTAATATTAAGAGAGGCTTAGTTGTGAATATTTGTCTTGCCTTCGACTGGGCTTGTTTATATCTCAGAGTAGAGACACGCTCTCTGATTTGTTGGTACAGGCTTTCTAAGAGTTAATAAGAAAATGTGGGAACAGTCTATGACAGTTGGAATTGGGTTTGGTGTTAAGTAGAAGAGCAAGTTATTTGATGGCACCTAACAATATGCATTTCTCTTGGATTAAAACAAAAAGGTTTACTGTGATAATGTTACAGGCATTAGGAGTAATACCTGTTTTGTTTTTAAGGGCTATTTTGTAGATGTAAGCTCAGAAGCCAAAGTGATAGAAAGAATGGCCAAGTATCACAGAGCTTGGGATCAACAGAAGGAGAAGTCTGGATTATTGCAACTATTGTTCCTTCTTTTCTGCAAGGCAAGATTGATATCTTAATTTCTGGTTTAAGCTGAAAGACTTGCAGTTGGACCTGCAACTTTTAACATATTTTAAATTGGAGCACTGAATTAGAAAAATATTTCTATTCTGAGTTTAGATATACTAACTGCCTTGTATACATGATGAGTTGATTTATCACACATCTAGTGCATGTTAATCTTCCCAATATTTCTAATCCTTGAAATAATCTATTTCTCCTTTTTTGTTGTTGTTGAAGTCTGATGCTTTGGTATATTTAGTGGTCCCATACTACCCAGGAGCAAGTCTGGGAGCTTTTCAGGCTGATACACCTTTAACTTTAGAAGTAAGTATAACTTCTTAGACTATGAGAATTTTAGTTTGTATATTTTTGAACTGAACTGTTAATGCTTTGCTGTATCCTGTGGGGCTGATGATGTTTCACCAGTGTACTTCCTCTGGTGGCTGATGGTGGTTGACAGTGGTTGTACTGAGTTGCACAGGACAGCTCGGCTGGCATTTTTACCATCTGGTCACGCCGTAGTTTGTAACTTTCTGAAAGAGATTTTGCCTGGATACACTTTTTTGTTTTATTGAAATTAATGCCTCAACTGTATTACTGATACATTTTACAAGTACTGGAGTTGAATTTGTTAAATGTTCAGGGGCAGGCATTTCTGTATTGAGGTTTTAGAGAACGCCCGTGTGTATAATTTTAAATTTTTTTAACTCTTCTCCCTCAATTCATCCCACTCCGATTCCTTCCCCTCCTCCCACATAGTGTATAGGCCAATACAGTTTTTTCTCTACTTCTGTTTGATGACTTGGACCTACTTATAAGGGTCCAAGTTGCATGTAGTGGTGGTGTGGTTTCTTCTTATTTTCTTGTGTTAGTCATTTTTGATTCTGCCTAGCTGTGCAAGTCATAATAATCTTACTGAGATTTAATCCCTACTTTGTAAAATGGAATTGGCTTGAGCTTTGAGTGTGTACAAACCTTAAAAAAAACCCCAACAAATGACTGTTCTGGACAGAAACTTCTTGATACTGTGCTTTTTTTTTTCCCCTTTTTTTCCTTCCTATCAATCTTTGTAATAAACATGCAAATTAAATCATTAGGAGGCATTAAAAGTGATGAAAGGAGTTGCCCAAGGTCTACAAACATTACATGGTGCTGATATAGTACATGGATCTCTGCATGAAAATAACATTTTTGCTGTGAATCGAGAACGAGGAATCGTTGGAGACTTTGATTTCACGAAATCAGAGGTAAAAAAAAAATAAATCCTTTAGAGACCTAAAGTCAGAATTATGTATCAAAATAGACAAATGTGTTTGTAATTAAAAAGATTTCTTGATAAAAATTGTGTTTAACAGTGAGACTCTTGTTTTGTATTTTGAATAGGGTTGGGCAGTTTAAGTCCTGTAAATTTTTGTAAACAGTGGTTCTGGAGGTGGAGAAAAGGATTCCTAAGCGAAACAGTGGAACAAAAAAGAGAGGTTGCAGTAGTTGTTTGTTGACTGACTGTCCTGTTTATTTGGTGAGGCATCGTCAGAAGTGAGAGTAAGAACTTGTGCTTGAAGAAGGGTTAGTCAAGCTCATATGAAATCTTTGCCTTTCTGTTTGTTAGGTAGCAGGGTTCTGGTATGTATTTCACTCTGTTGTGGTATTTGATAAATTAACAGGATGTTATACGTTGTCTACGTATATCTCTATTTATACGTACTGATGATTTAGTCCTCGGTTTCTGTAGTACAAAATTTCATAGTTGTTCTTGGGTAAAATCTAATATTCTTTAAGAACACAAACTATTTACTTACTATTTGTTGTATTTACATAGCAAGGTCTCCAGTAATGGTATCTGTATTTACCTTTTGACTTCATAAACTCAAGTTATTGAGCTAAAACATTTTTATACTGGAGATCTGCTTCATGCGTATTTAATTTTTGGAATAGTAACTTAGAGTAGAGGCACCATAATATAAATAAAAGTTTCATTGAGAACCCTTATTTATTTTTTTCTGGAAATGCATTATCTGTTATCTCCTGAAGAGTGTTAAATACATTAACAGCAAGGTGTACTTCCTCTGGAAAAAAAAAAATCACTTTTCAACATGCTGAAGAGAAATACTTTAAAAATTTTTGACAGCTGAATTTTCTGAAAGGTCATACTCTGTCTAGATGATGTCATTGTGATAATTACTAGAGCTGAGGAAGACTGTCCCTCCCTTTACTCCTCTGTTCAGGTGTGGACTGTGCTGAAGTTAGCAGCTTGTGTGTGATAGAGCAGGGAAGTTCCACCCGTGGTTCACAGTCTGGATCCAGTTTGTCCCTTCTCTGTAGGGGTGCCAGGACTGATCCTCGCCGGCTCCTCTTGCCTGATCACCAACGCACGGGTGGAGCTGGTAACTCTTGGCAATCTGGAAACTAGTCTCCAGTCTGACTGTAGCTGGTGCTGGCTGCTGTCGTGGAGAGGGGATAGAAACTTGGGGTCTAGCTTATGTTTTGAGAGTAGACAGTCCTAAAATCTGCTGGAAACTAGGAGGGAATAAGCAGTTCCTTTCAGGTAATGATCAGAAAGGCAGAGAGGATAAAATAGGAAAGCTGGCAGAACTTAACTTTAAAACTGAAGTTCTCCAAAATAGTGCCAAGTGTCTTTTAATATTTGTGATGATTATTTTTTTTTTTAAATTGAGAAGTTTTGCAATTTGTATTCTTTAGCACTTGATGAGCCTTAATAGTTCTAGTATGGAGTATCTAGTATGGGATCTTTCATCCCTCCTCTTTTGTTGAAGTTACAGATGGTATTTTTATGACATTCTCTTTTTTCCTTTAAGCACCTTCTTTTTTTTTTTTTTTTTTTAATCAGTAAAGGGAGGATTTTACGTTTCAGTCTGGATCCACACAGAACTCTATGGTAAAGTTGTCTCACACATTAAAAGGGAGAGGGAGATAAATGTTCTTCAATGTGCTATCAGTCATGCTTGAATTCATGGGTACAATTTTTTTCCCCCATAGGAACAACGTGCTGCTGCAAACACTATGAATGTTGGTACCCTGAGCTTAGTTTCTCCTGAACTGAGAGCGGGACAGCCAGCTTCTCCGGCCTCTGACATGTATGCTTATGGCTGCCTTCTGCTCTGGGTATGTTCTGGCTTGTGGGAGAGTTTTTCTAGTAATGATACAGAACTGTAGCAGGCTTATAAAGAGCAATAACTGTTATCTCCACCTTCTACTTTGAACTATTTGGGTGAAGTAAGTGTTCTTATTTTCAACTGAGTAGTAAGTGTGGAACAAATGGGAGTTAAAATTACATACAGAACACTGCATTTTTCTGTAAAACGTGCAATCTAATTTCTATAATAATATGAAGAAAAATTATGCTTTTATTCCTCATGCTGTGGATTGTAAGTTCCTACTTCCTATTCATTCCTTCTGAGTATTTTTTCTTATTTTTTGTTTGAATTTTTTGTTGTTGTTATGTTTTTGTGACCTTGCCCCTGAAGATTTACCCAAATCGAGAGAAAGAAGATGAAGGCCAAGGATGTGACCTATGTTTTGTTGCTGACAACAGTGCCTAGAGAGGTGTTTTGTTTCTTAGTGCATGTTATGCCCGGGAGAAGCAAGCAGTCTGCTGTGTTAGGTGATGCACTGACCAGCATCTCCTCCATCGCCTTTTTTGGGACTGGATTGCTCCCTTCCCCAGCCAGGGTGCCAGTGCCATGTGCTCTGCATGAGAAAACTTCAAATTTCCCAGGCTTAAAAAGCCACAAGCTGCCCGTCCAGTTCACAGGAAGTGATTTTACATGAGTGCTGATATATTGGAATGGAGTCACTGAGCTGAGTTGGAGCTCCAAGTACTACATGGGTGTCTTCCTGGGAAGCACTGGCAGTTCCGTCAGCTGCACAGCGATAGCTTCAGGCATCCCCACTGGGCCGCAGCATCTTAAAACCACTTCTTGACAAAGCCCTAAACTACAAGCTGATAGGTAGCCACTACCAGTTACCTGCTAAGAAGGTGAAGCTGACTTGTATAAAAGTCACTCTTCCTTATATTTTGTTCCCAGTTTAAGAAGTAATTGCTTAAAATTAAGATTTTTTTTTTTTCTGCTGAAATAGATGAACTGAAGTGCAGTTTAATGGCATAGATGTTTATAATTTATTGACATCATACAATATCACAGAATGATGGAATGCTAGGGGTTGGAAGGAACCTTGAAAGACCATCTAGTGCAGCCCCCCCGCCAGAGCAGGATCACCTACAGTCGGTCACACAGGAATGTGTCCAGGCAGGCCTTGAATGACTCCAGAGAAGGAGAGTCCACAACCTCTCTGGGCAGCCTGTGCCAGGGCTCTGTCACCCTCACAGTGGAAAAGTTTTTTTTAATGTTTTTGTGGAACCTCCTATGTGCCAGCTCATACCTGTTCCCCTTGTCCTGTCATTGGACATCACTGAGAAGAACCTGGCTCCGTCCTCCTGACACTCACCCTTTACAGATCTATAAACATGAATGAGGTCACCCCTCAGCCTCCTCTTCTGTGCCCAGAACTGGACACAATATTCCAGGTGTGGCCTCACCAGGACAGAGTAAAGGGGAGGAGGACCTCCCTTGACCTAGTAGCCACCCCCCTTCTAATACACTCCAGGATGCCATTGGCCTTCTTGGCCACGAGGGCACATTGCTGGCTCATGGCCATCCTGCTGCCCACCAGAACCCTCAGGTCCCTTTCTCCTACACTGCTCTCCAGCAGGTCAGTCCCCAACCTATACTGGCACATGGGGTTGTTCTTTCCCAGATGCAAAACTCTACACTTGCCCTTGTTGAATTTCATAAGATTTCTCCCTGCCCAACCCTCCAGCCTGCCCAGGTCTCTCTGAATGGCAGCACAGCCTGCTGGTGCGTCAGCCACTCCTCCCAGTTTTGTGTCATTGCTGACAGTGCACTCTGTTCCCTCATCCAGGTCCTTGATGAACATTAGTTAGAACATTTTCAGTACCACTATTCAGATCTTCATCTGTTCCAGAAAAGGTTTTTACAAGTAGGCAAAAGTAAAATCAGGGGAAATGTTACTTTTTTTGGGGTACAGGGTTCAGATTTGTCTGTTAGAGTGTGCTTGCACCTCAACATATCTTATAGAGGATGATATAAGTAAATGTATAACTTGGACATGGACTTAGAGTCCATATTTTAAAAAACAAAGGTTTTTCGGTTACAAATATTTTTTCCATAGTTTCTGTGTAAGAACTTGAGCCCCTTGCATGTTTTGTGCTACTGTGAAATTAGGAGACAAGCCTTTCCCTGCAGTTTTCCCCATAACAATCCATTTTGACTTGAAACCTGGAATCTCCTTGCCTGGTGTTTGTTTTTTTTAAATTAAAGGGAAAAAAACCCATCAGTGTTATGCAGCATGTATCTTTTAATTTACAGCTCTGTGCTCAAAACCAGGAGTTTGGCATAAAAGAAGATGGAACACCTGAGGTGGAGGCGGTTGTCATGGTACGTTAATTGTCAGATAGTTAAGATTAGACTGTTCTTGTTTAGAATTGGTTAATCAATTTTTTTTTTTCTTAAGTCAAACATTTCATTGTAAGGCGTTGGTTGAGAATATGTTATTAATTTACTATTTGGATAATTCTAAACAGCGTGCACAAATAAGATAATGTTTGAGAAGGAAGAAAACCCAAGAGTTTTCTTAGTATTTAACTCTGACCTTACGAGGAGCAACTTCTTCACAGACAACTGTTTAATCGAATGACATCAAGTTACAGACTTGGGGAGTAAGTCATTGAGATTCAGCCTCAAAGGAGGTATTTGAATTAGAAACCTGTCTGTTCTGAAGTTGAGGAAGTTGACTTTGTTCATCTGTCTCCCTACGTAATGATTGCACAGTGCTTGAGCGCAATAACAACCAAATTCCATTTTAATCACTTAAATGCAGTTGTAGAAGTGTATTGTGCCTGTTTTTCCTGTGAAACAAACTTTCCTATGTCTCTGACACAAATGCACAAATATAAGTGGATCCTGCATAATACAGATTTGTATTCCTGCTTTCATTCTTTCTACTCTCAGCTGTTGTTCTCTATTCACAGAATCACAGAATTGTCAGGGTTGGAAGGGACCTTAAAGATCATCTATGTCCAGCCGCCCCACCGTGGACAGGGACATCCCCACTAGATCAGGCTGCCCAGAGCCCCATCCAGCCTGGCCTTAAAAACTCCCAGGGATGGGGCTGCCACCTCCTCTCTGGGCAACCTGTGCCAGGGTCTCACCACCCTCATGGGGAAGAACTTCTTCCTCACGTCCCATCTGAACCGACCCATCTCTGGCTTTAATCCATCCCCTCTAGTCCCATCACTACCCGACATCCTAACAAGCCCCTCAGCAGCTTTCTTGTAGCCCCCTTGAGATACTGGAAGCCACAATAAGGTCTCCTTGGAGACACCTTTTCTCCAGACTGAACAGCCCCAACTCTCTCAATCTGTCTTCCCAGGAGAGATGCTCCAGCCCTCTCATCATCCTCGTGGCCCTTCTCTGGACACATTATGTGCCTGCAGTTGTTGTAACATTGAACTCTTATTTTCAGTCCCTTTTTGGAAGCTTATCCTTGCCCAGTGCTTCAGTGATTCACTGAGAATTAGAAGTAGACCTGTGTGCCTGCATGGTTCCTGGCTTAGGTCTCCAACTTTAAAGTCAATCCTTCATCAGTTTATCTCTCTCTTGAATGTTAATCCTAAGTAGATAATTTTATGGCCTCTCTGTGTGCCTCAGTTACCTGAGCACTTGCCTAGCCTTAGTTTTATTTTATTGTGTACTTCTCTTTCCCATAAGCTCTCAGTCTTCTGGCCATGAGTTAAGACCTTTTTTATTCCCTGCTTTTGACCTCTTCTACCTTGCTACAGGTGATTGCTTTTCCTTCTTGTAAAAGTTGTAATAATGAAAGACATGCCGCCGCATATAAGCTTAAAAAAATCCCCTGCAAGGTTTATGAGCCTCTTTCAAATCATTAGTCGTCCTAGAGCAGTTTCTTCTTCATACTTCTTGCTGTACTTCTGCCCGACTAGACACCGACTGCTTTATTCCTGTCTGCGTCCCTCCCTTGAGTGAATTGCCCCTGTGGTTTTTAATCTGTATGGACTACTTCTTATCCTGTGCTTTACTCTGGTGAACTTATTTTAAGTGAGACCTTACCACTTTATCTAGATTTGAGAAGGCCATCAAACTTTAATAAAATCAAGGCTTATACTGTTAGTAAAAAACCTGCAAGCAGGTGACTCCGTTTAGCTTTTAAGTGAAGCCTTAGGCTACAGGTAGAGTTTTCTAAGGAATATGGGGAAGTGTTAGAGGTTAATCCCCATACTTTCCAGAAATGTATAAAAATACTCTAAATGGGAAAGCAGAAAACAAGACAGCGGAGTTGCTATTGGTCAGATAAATGTGGGTTGTTTTGTCGAGAGAGAAAGAAACCCAAATAACAAATCCCTCTTTATTGATTATACTTGTGTATTAATGATTTGCCTGCTTTGTGCAGTTGAAGCCTGGGGCTAAATTACTAGAGTTGTGTTCGTTATGAGCTTAGTGTATCCTGTTTACTGTGTGTAGGTTAAGAAACTGTTGTGAGGTGGTACTTGAGTAGCACAGCTCTCATGGTTCCAGTGCCCAGGCAGGGCAGCTTGTGTATCAGTGTGTAACACGGTACTGGAAATAATCTTGTTTTATTGGGTGACCTTTATCCTCTACAGTATGTCTTTTAATAACTTCATTTCAACAGTGTTGTCCAGTGATGAAAGTATTACTGATAAAGCACAGGACTGTCTACAAAATCTGTCTGTAAAATTGTTTCCAATGTGATGCTACTGTGGAAAATAAAAGAATAAAACGTGCTGCATTTCAGCAGGGAGGTGATCCTTTTAATAGTGTTTCTTATCACTCATTGTAGATGCTTGATTTTTAGCAAAAAACGAGTGTCATGAAACAGAGTGCTATAGGAAAGAAGATTCAGTGCTTCATGATGCACTGTTAGGGCTAACTGGGGGAGTTTAAATGTATTCCACAAAAGTTGTACAGAACTGTCTGCCCAGTGTGACATTTAGGGTTGTGCGTAAGATACTGAAAAACCTAACTTTCTCTCGTGTGTGAGGGAAACTTAATTGTACAACAAAGTAGAAAAGATTTTCTGGGACGTTGAAAATAGAAGCAGGGTTCAGTTTTGATTTCCATAAAGTTTCTGCTGTGATAATTTTTACAAATAAGGCATGAAGTACGCAAGTTAAAGCTTAAATGGCCAGTTTTAGGGTATTCTATTTCTGTGTTCTTCTGTAGCAGGCCTCTTCTGAAGTGAAAACAGCTGTCTTTTTCTCAGAGACAATTAATGAATTTAGCCATCATTCTTCTTAGCAGAGATTAATTACTTCTACAGCTTTTAATGAGAGTTTCTTTAACATTTTTTCCTAATGCAGTGCTTAATTTTGACTTTGTCAGAGAATACCATTCTAATCAATGCATGGGTTTTGGTAGTTTTTAAGGATTCATCCTGGACGTGTGTGCATGCATGTGCACCGACCACCAAAGTCCACTGGAAAGCAATCAGTGGTGCCTGCAGGGCAGGGGAACACACATGAGGGGTTTGCTAAGAAATGTAGTACTAGTAAATATCTTTCAGCTGTGTCTTGTGAATATTTTAGACCTCTGGCTGTTAATCCTTGCCCCAGTTCTTGGGGAAAATCTGTTTTGCTTTTAAGTGCTTTATCTGTAATCAGCTTATTCCGAATTAATCTCCATGCCCATCTGCAGGCTCTTGACAGGCTGGTAATTTCGCTTCCATCTCAGTCTCGTGCCCAGAGGAATTGTCTATTTGCAACTAGTAAAATTTTTGCTGTCTTGAGCAAATGTGAAACTGCCACAGGAAAAATAATGTTAGGTTTTAAAACAGGGATATTAATGGTAGGTGACTGTTGAGGAAAAGCCAAGTTTAGAGAAGTCTTGTAACCACTCATAGAGTCATGGAAACATCAAGGTTGGGAAGGACCTTAAGATCATCAAGACCAACCTACAGCCCTACACCACCGTAACACTAAACCATCTCCTGAAGTGCCACATCCAGCTGTTAAAGTAAACAGATGAAACATCGTCTTAGAGCAGTTTTCCTTGTGGAATCAGTTTTCAGTTTCCTTGGTGCGAGAAGATGGTGAGGAGGGGATGTTTTAAATGCTCAGGATTTTCTTCACTTTCAGTTTTGCAGAGGGAGTGTGTAGTCATGGTTCACGCCCATATTTCATTGCATATGTTTGAATCATAGAATCTTCTTAACTAGAGATTTTCCTGTGAGCATTTAAAACGTCTGTGAACATTTACTAATCCTTCATGTCTGTAAGATGAACAGTTTTCAGATCTCATAGTTTTCACCTAGATTCCAGATTGTTTGGGGAGTGGCTATTTCTTGGAAGTCACTGTGGTGATTAGTGGAGAGTTGAGAATTGTCTGCCTGTTTCTGTCTGGATGATATTGACTACTTGGGTACATCTCTTTGCATCGCAGTGATGATTCTGTGAGTGTGAAATGGGAATAGATGAGAGGTACAGACATGTTGTACTTTGCTGTTTTATTAACTCCAGTCGGAGGTGCTGCTGACTTGGAGACGGTGACCAAGCAAGTCCTGTTGTGGAAAGATTCTGTTCCCATTGAGTTTTGGTAATCTAGATCTTCTAGATCAACATTTGAGATTCTTTGTGGAGTCCCCTTGCCCAAACTCAGTGCGTGTTTTTCATCCCTAAACAGCTGATATTTATTGCACGTGTGAAGCAGCTGTGGTTCTATGTTTTGTATATGGAGCCTAGCGCTGTTAATGTGCTAAGCATTTAGGCATGTACTGCCTTCTGATAACTCCAGAGAGCCTAAGTGTAAGTGATGGATTAGTGACAAAATAGCTGCTGTTGATTTAGAACCCATTATTTTGGTTTTCTTCCCTGTGATCTCGTAGAGAGATAAAGTGATATGACACAAGTTAAAAGATGAAGTTGTAGAAGGTGAACGGGGCCTATTCTGTTCTTTCTCAGTAGAAGGACTATCTTCAGTATTTCTCTAGTTTGTAGTAGTTCAAGGAATTGATGTTTTGAAATATAATTACTCACATTCTTCTGTGAAACCTGCTGGCACCAGCTTGACAGACCCGATGCTGAATGCTTGCTTTTATTTTGTTGTTAATAATCACTTCTACTGTCAAGTGTTGCTGACCATTGGGAGGTCTTTGAGCCCCAAGCACTTACCAGATGTGCTCATCAAATACTTGGTGGTTATTTTGGTTTACGTTTGGTTGTGTTGTTTGTTTTGTTTACTGATAAAATCCTTCTCCCTTTTTTTGTAGGATGATAAAGTTAAATCTCTTCTCCTGAATTTGTTCTGCTGTAACAGACTGACAGCTGAGCAGGTGGTGAGGGATGATTGCTTCCTCCTAGTTGATGGGATTTCAGTTTCACCCCAACCAGATGAAGAGCGTGAGCCATGTGAAAAACTTGATTGGGAGAAGACGGTTGAAAAAGAAATGCAGTTGACTGAGGAGAATGGAGCAAACCCTGCTCAGTAGACAGGAATATTTCTGTCAGGTGTTTGATTGAGACTTCTCTTTCTACTTGGTTTTGAAATCATTGTCCTCATCTCAAATATCAAAACATGAAAGGTTTGGTAGGTGCAGTTGTGTTTTGTGACTGCACAATCTTCACTGAGTTTTCCTTTAAGTACATTTTGTTCTAAAGAACTGTTCAGGGATATAACTATAGTGTTACTGATTGTTAACATTACTGTCAAAAGAGTTTTGTAAGCTCTTTATTTTTACAGGAAACTGTTGCTTATCTTCGTGAAGGTTTTCCTTTCTACTCGGAAACGGATCAAAACGTGCAGAGTTGCTGTAGCAATAGGTTTAGCCTCTGGGTGTTGCTCTTGGACAGTGCGGTTGGCAGACTCGTGTTTTGCAGAGGGATTATTGAAGCTGCGTGTTGCTGGATGAAGGATGTAAAAATGCCGTGGGGAATGGGTCAACAGCAGCACTGGGGAAGTGGGGAGGTCTCAGGTACAGCAGCATAGTCCACAGTGGGTAGAAGATAGCGCCTTGGTAGATCTGCCTCTGATATTAGACTTGGTTTTCCATCCTTAAATCAATTAGTTGTTTTGAATGGGTTAGCATGTAAGATGCTTTCTCCTTTTTTTTCATTAAAGGATAATGATTTTTGAATTTATTTAATACATATGTAACCAGTGGTAGCAAAACCTATGTTAAAAATATTTTTGTATGTAGAATTTTTGGTTAGTGTGATAAATATTTTCATTACAAAGATCACAGAAGAATAATACCTTGGTTTTTTTCAATGAAAATACACAGTTTAGCAGTTTTCTGGGATGCTCTCCAAACACTGATTGCGGTCTTTTACTGTTAATAAAATGCTACTCTTAATGTTAAACACTGAATAGGGGTTAGAAGACTGACCTAATGATTTATGTTGTGCTGTGTCATGTATATTAGAATAAAGTTTTCGCTCAGTTTTCCTGTTCTGGAGTTCAAGCAACCTAACATGTACTTCTTAAATTCCCCTAATGTTAACCTTCTAGTTTTCTGAATCCAGAAGTCTCTGTATATGCTTGATTTAAAAAAAAAAAAAAAAAAAAGTACTGTTTTCAAAATCTCTTTGCTAGCTCTAAGTAGTATGACTTTACGTGTGGAACCTAGCACATGAGATGGATTTCCTTTTTTTTGACTGCAGTAAAACTGCTGAAACCTTTTGGCACATATGAGTCAGGGTATGAGACAGCCTTTTCATTTGAATTAAATGTTGATTACGGCCAGTTCTGTTAGTTTTCACTTCAACATTTTCTGCGGTATTTTTGTAGCTCTGGCTTTTTCATTTCTTACTTGCTGGAGGCCTTAAGAAAATAGATTTGTTCAGGGTCATGTTGCGTAGCTGTTCTGCCAAAGCTGGGTAGCAATCGCGGGTAAGGGACTGCTGGCTGTTCAGTTTGACACACACCTTGTTCAGCTGCATCTCTTCTGGCTGGAAGATGGGTGCTTGGAGGATACAGAAGGCAGGTGGAAATGATCCTGTAGGAGTGACCTGTCCCCTTAGACACTTGTTGCTGCTTTTAAGAATCCCGAATGAAACTTAACTCAGTCTTCCTTGACAGCAGCGCTCTGCAGCCTTGAGCAGTGTCCTTGCACAGACTGGGTCAGTGGGGGACCTTCAGGGGGCCGACCTTTTGGGAAGTAAGGGCTGCAGTTGCTGTCATGGGCAGGCAAGTCTGCAGACCTGAGACAGCTGCTTTTCCCAAAAAAACTGAGCTATTTCAGCAGATTGGAAGAACATCAGCATTTCTTGTCTCCTGGGTTTGGGTAGAGCTGTGGGAACTACTCCTTTCTGAATGCTGTACATCTGGTCACTTCTGGAGACTCCTGCTGTTCTGTTCACTGCCTCTTCATGCCCACGCTAACATCCGTAGCCACATGACTGCATCTTTCCCTGTAGTTTGCTGCTCGCTCTGTTAGTATTTAACGCTCTTGCTGGTGTAGTTCATGTGCCATGCCACACTTCACTTGCAGCTCCTGGAGCAGTTGTCTTGAAACATGCTTTTTTTTCACAGCAGACACACTGTGGCTGGATAGACTGAAAACAATTATTGTGTCCTTTAGCATTGTGGGCAGATCTCCTGTTGTGACATGGAAATCTGTTCTGTTAGTGCCAGCGTGCACTGTGGCAGGGGCACATGGGCTCAGGTGTTGGAATTGGGTTTCGAAAGCTTTATATTCTGGGTCTGCAATACGTCAAGATCACACCATGTAGAAGCATCTTCATAAATTAAAACCATTTGAAATGGATTTAAAAAAAAATGTATGTCATTATCCCTGTTGTCTGACATCTGTGTGTGAGAGCTGTGAGGTATGTTACCGATGGGTGGGGGAAAGCAATGTTTGCCCTGCTGTGTGAAGATGTGATGCTAGTTTGTATTTGTTACCCCCCTGTGTTGCCAGTTGCTACTGAGCTGCCTGGGACGTGTGGGTGAGTGGCTTTCACTTGCTGTATGGCAGAGCTGGGAAAGCTTGCCAGAACTGCCCAGCGTGTCTCTTCACTTGTGAATTCCAGCTATTCAGCTTTTCTGCCATCTTCGTGATTGGTAGCGTGGTCAAGCAGACTGGATCTGTTCTGTCTCATTTTGGCAGTCCCTGTGTGGACCAGTAATTTCTGGTATCCTGAGTATGGTATTAGGAGTTTAATCTGTAAATTTAGCAGCTCTCGGGTTGCTCTCTGATCTCCTCAGCTCTGTGGCCTGGTGCTTCAGCAAAGCCAAGAGCTCTACTACCTGGCGTCAGTGTACTGGGTACCGATACACGTGACAGGTCTGGAGAAAGAGTCCCTGTTTGAAGTGGAAGAAAATGGTTCACATGAACCTTGGGGCTTTTTGATGCAAGATATTTTTCCTCTAAGTGACTTAGCAGCAGGTTTTGCATTTACCCAGGTGTGTCTTGGATTTTCTGATCTCCCATGTGTGGCCCAGGATGCCCCTGCTGGTAAAGTGCGTGTTGCAGCCTTGCAGTCGGCATGTGGTTGCCTGGAGTTAGTTCCAGGGGCTGGGGGAACACTTATAATGTCCTCTCCATCACTTGTGGAGTCCTGCATGCACTGCTGCAGCTCCTCTTTCTAACCAGCTTCTTAAGAACTCTTTTTTTCCTGTTCCCCTGTCCTCTCTCTAGCAATAAGGTTTCTCTGGTGCTCTCAGAGGATTTTTTTTCTTTTGTGGTGTTACCAGAACCTGAAAATATGTGAAATGCCAGTACTTCATAACGTTGCTTTAGGTAGCCTGCGGTGGGTTAAGTCATTGCCTGCTCCCACACGTGCCAAGGCAGGAGTAGAGTAGCCGCAGGAGCAATGTTTGAAGGAAGACAGAAGAATTATGTACTCAATAGACTGTCTTTTGAGTGTCTTGAGGTTCAGTGGGAGGATCTAGTTGAGAGGCGTCCCTGCCCATGACAGGGAGGTTGGATTAAATGATCTCTAAGGTTTCTTCCAGCCTAGGCCATTCTATGATTCTATGATTTTAAGTGGTAATTAGCAGACTTCAAATTTTGGTGCTGCATTTGCAGGAACTGTGGTAAATTGCAAGTTGTGCGAGCCCTACCAGCTGAAACACTGAACAAACGCACAAGAAGCCTTCTGCAGTGTAAGTCATGTACAACGTAAGTGTGTGCAGCCAGCACAACTCGGAGGAGTTCTTCATGTACAAGTATCTCACTTCCAGTGTACAGAATTGATTCAGTCTTCCTCAGGAGAGAAACCAGGAGAATTCCTTTGGAGCAAATAGATTGAAGATGCTTTGGTCCAGCTGCTGTGATGAAGGCTGGGTGAATGCTCCAAAGTAAAAGCCTACTGACCTCAGTATCAGGAGATGCAGGTGGAGGCTGCTGAAATTGTAGGTGGTTTTATCTGATTTTTATTTTTTATTTTTTCCCTCCTCATAGCACTTGTTTTAAAGTTCAAGTCTGCTCTTGGGAATTGCAGATCTGTTCCATAGCGACTTTTCTTCCTTCTCCTAATTTAAGATAACTGTCAAAATGATGATTCCACAAAAGCAATGCCAACCTCTTTTAGAAGGCTGTTTTTTGCTAGTGTTCATGGTTCTGGTGTGCAGTTGATGTAAACTCATCAATCTGCTTAATAATCCTTGCTAGCAAGAGATGGAGCTGTTGATTCTTCCACCTGTCACCTTTTCTCTGTAAAGTGGGGTTTTTTTTCAAGAAAAAACCCATTTGGAGCCTTTTTTTCTCTGTTTTTAACTTCTCTGTTGGCCCAAGTATGAGCTACTGTGGCTGCCTGTTTTCTCTGCATCTCTGTGTCAGATCAATTAATGTACTTGCATATTGAATTTTGTAGTGTCTGGGTAAGTTTCAAGTTATCATAAAATCATAGAATGGTTTGAGTTGGACTGACCTTCAATGGTCCCTGCAGTGAGTGGGGGACATCTTCAGTTACATCGTTTGCTCAGAGCCCTGTCCAACCCAACCTTGAATGTTTCCAGGGATGGGACATCTGCAGGCACTTTGGGCAACCTGCTCCAGTGTTTCAGCACCCTCATTGAAAAAAGTTTCTTCCTTATATCTAGTCTGAATCTACTTTAATTTAAAACCATTGCCACTTCTCCTGTTGTTACAAGCCCTATAAAAAAATCTGTCACCATCTTTCTTAAAAGCTCCTTTTAAGTATTGTAAGGCAGTAAGGTCTCTGCAGAGACTGCTTTTCTCCAGGCTAAATAATCTCAGCTGGACCCTCCTCTGGACTCACTCCGACATGTCTTTCCTGGACTGAGGAGTCCAGAGCTGACACAGAACTGCAGGTGGGGTCTCACCAGAGTGGAGGAGAGAGGGAGAATTGCCTCCCTTGACCTGCTGACCACACTACTTATGCAGCCCAGAATACGGTTGGCTTTCTGGGCTGTGAGCGCACCTTGTCTTCTCATGCTCAGCTTCGTACCCACCAATACCCCTCATCCTTCTCAGCAGGGCTGCTCAACTCTCCCTGTTGTTATCCTTGCAAGACACTCCTTGAT